ACATATTTTCCTAATTTACCAGCCAACTAGTATCCATGGGGATCCATAGGGGTCCCGCTACCCGTTAATCCTTAACACTTGAAATCCATTCCAGGGCCGTCCCCATACCCCGTCCGGTATGGGCGCCAAACCATAAACCTCATTACCCCGTCCGGTATGAGGGTGAAACGGGCCGTCCCCATACCCCGTCCGGTATGGGCGCCAAAACACATAAAATCTCCATACTCCGTCCAGTATGGGAGACCACAATTCCGGTAGGGTTCCCTACGGACCCGGTCCGTCCACCATCTCCTAGGATATCTAGTCAGGCTGACCACAGTATACAATTTCCATTTACATAATCTTTCATTCTCTTTTTCCCTCAGTCAGCATTATCAATCACATACAAACAAGCAAAACGATAATTTATGCCAAACAGACAACATACAGCATCAATATCCCGGTCATTCAATCCATAATCAATAAAACAGTAGAATGTGCACACGAAACTATAAAATGAAAACATCAAATCTCATACTGCATTTAAAACTGTAAATAGGCCAAATAACAGTTAACCGACAAACACACTAGACTCGGGCTCCATTAGCGACCTTAAGCAATTTCACACATTCGTTGATTCATGAAATACCGTTTTATCATTTATTGAACTTTAAAACCGTGATAGGAAATAGGGTGAGGGGTCCTTACTCGTTTCGGGGTCCGAACACGGCTTCACAGTGCGCCTACAGGCTGTCCCTAATTTTCCCTGAATTTTTCTCGGGGAACTGAAACGCACTACTGGTACCTGCACGTGTTCCAAAAATCCCAATTAGGCCTAGGGCCCCTTTCGGCCAATATCGCAACTCCGGCACGATGGCTCCGCCGTGCTCCGGCGTCGGTGCCGCCGCTTGCGGCGGTAATTTGCCTCGGGTTGGCCGTTTTCGGCCGTTTCCGGCCGAATTCGGCCACACTCGCATTGGTTCCTGCGATAAAACAACCCTACGGCCCTCGGGGGGCCGAAAATTTACGGAAAACCGAAGCTTACCGGCGGCGGTGCTCTCGGGTGCGGCGGCTCTCCGGTGAAGTTCGTGTTTTGGTGATTCGACTCCGATCAACCTGTAGAGAAAAGAATGGTGATCACGGTGATATAAAAATTGCATTAAACGGAGGCCGGGAAGGGCCTCATCGGAGGCAAAAACAGAGAAGGGGCGCGGCGGCGCCGCTGGCTTTCGGCCGTGTTTTTCGGCCGTTTGGCCAGGATTTTGGCTCCGATTTGGCCACTGGAGAAATCAGCGTGGAAAAACGAGTTGGGAGTATGAAATTTACCTCGATCGGCAGTCGGAAATCCCTCCGGTGCGGCGGCGGCCGGCTTCTGGTTCGTCTTCTCCGGCGAGGGCAGGCGGCTAGGGTTTGGGGTCTGGTGTGGGGGTCTTATTTATACCCTTTTGCCTTTTGATCTCAGCCGTCCATTTTGATTTAATTTGGGCCGTCCGTTTTTGATTAAATCTGGGCCGTCCGTGCGATTAAATCTGGGCCGTCCGTGCGCGCGATTGATCTGGGGCCGTCCGATCGCGCGCACGCGGATCGCCAACGTGGCCCGTCCCCGGTCGACATGGTTTTGCCACGTGACATGTCCTGGTTGGCCAGGCCTGCTGACTGGGGTCTGCTGAC